AGAGGCTCTTTTGTAGTAAAGCCTTGTTGTTTTTGAGCGTTTTGTTTGATGATACCGTACTTTTGGAGATTGATAGAAACACCCGTCTATAATCTTGTTGTAGAAAAATCTAGATTAGTAGGTTGTTATTTATCTTCTCGGTATTTGTTTTGTAAACGCCTTACTATTACCTTTTGTCGAGGGTATTTTTAATTCAAGTTTCCGAGTCTTGTTAGATTTCTTTTGTCTTGATTTATCTTTTAGCATGGGTGTTACAAGTTGGTATCAAAGCCTTAGTTTATCTGGACAGAGAAGCAAGAAAATGCTTTTAGAACTCTCCAAAGGAAGCTATGTGAAGCCCCGATCATCTCCTTGCCAGAAGGATCCGAAGATTTTTTAGTCTTTAGTGACGCCTCGAAAATGGGATTGGGTTGCGCCTTAATGCAAAGAGGAAGGGTGATAGCATACGCATCAAGACAACTCAAGGACCACGAGAAGAATTATCCCACCCATGACTTGGAGCTAGCAGCAGTGGTGTTCGCCTTAAAACTTTGGCGACATTACCTCTATGGTACCAAGTGCACGCTTTTCACTGATCACAAAAGTTTGAAGTACATTTTTGATTAAAAAGAACTAAACATGAGGCAATGGCATTGGCTCGAACTACTCAAAGACTACGATTATGAGTTGCTGTACCACCTGTGTAAGGCGAATGTAGTGGCAGATGCCTTGAGCCGAAAGGAGTACAGTAGTGGGACGAAAGCCGTGCTTACCAGGATCGATGTGATGTCCAGTTTGATCGATCGGATTAGGATGGCACAGTCTGAAGCACTTTTGGAGGAAAATCTCAATAGCGAGGTTATGGTGAAACAACGCATACATCTTATGGAGGATGGTCGTGGCTTGAAGTTGTTTCAAGGTCGTATATGGGTAGCTAAGGTTGGGGGAAATCGTGAACTATTTCTAGAAGATGCGCACAAGTCTAAATACTCCATTCACCTGGGTAGCACCAAGATGTATCGATATTTGAAATTGACATATTGGTGGCCTGTTATGAAGCTGGATGTGGCTCGTTACGTAGAGAGGTGCGTGACATGTTTGCAAGTGAAAGCAGAGCACCAACGACCTTATGGAAGCCTCCAATCCTTGGAGATCCCTGAATGGAAGTGGGAACATATTATGATGGACTTCGTGACCAAAATGCCGAAGACCCTAAGAAACCATGATTCAATATGGATAGTGGTGGACCGACTGACAAAGAGCGCTCATTTCCTGGAAATGCGTGAATCGTTGCCCATAGACAAGCTTTCTAAGCTATACATCGATGAAGTATTCTCGAGGCATGGTATACCGTTGTCGATAGTGTCAGATCGAGATAGCCGATTCACCTCCCATTTCTGGGGCGGCTTACAAAAAGAATTGGGCATGAGAGTAAATTTGAGTACGGCGTACCATCCTCAAACCGATGGTCAGAGTGAACGGACTATTCAAACTCATGAAGATATGCTTCGATCGTGTGTTATCGACCTTGGCGGGAATTAGGACTCTCACCTACCCCTTGTGGAGTTCGCCTACAACAACAGCTATCATTCTAGTATCGGGATGGCACCGTTAGAAGCATTGTATGGACGGAAATGTAGAACTCCTGTGTGTTGGCTTGAGGCGGGCGAGAAGCAGTTCGCCGGCCCTGAAATCGTGCAAGAAACGTCCAACAAGGTGAAATATATTCGAGAACGTTTAAAGGCGGTGCAAGACCGACAGAAGAGTTACGCAGATAAGAGGAGCCGAACTATAGATTTCCAAGTGGGCGACCGTGTTATGCTTAAGGTATCCCCTTGGAAAGGCATTATCCATTTTGGAAAGCGTGGGAAGCTCAGCCCCCGTTATCTCGGACCATTTAAAGTTTTGGCTCGAGTAGGACTCCAAGCTTACAAATTAGAACTACCACCGGAGATGGCCGGAATCCACAACACATTTCATGTGTGTTACCTCCGTAAGTGTTTGGCGAACGAAGAAAGTGTGATACCATTGTCGGAAATTCGAGTCGATGAGAACAACCGATGCGTGGAAGAACCGGAGACCATCTTGGAAAACAAAACCAAGGTGTTGAGGAACAGGGAGGTTGTCATGGTCAAGGTAAAATGGAAGCATCATCGAGGGACAAACGTGACTTGGGAAGCTAAGGAGGACTTGGAGAGGCGTTACCCTTACCTCTTCACGTGAGTAAGGACAATTTCGAGGACGAAATTTAATCCAAGGTGGGGAGAATTGTAACACTTGAGATTTGTGTCAAAGATTTCTTTTGACATTTAAGTTTTCTTTTTTTTTTCTATTTTCCTTCTATAAGTCTAGAAAGTTTCTTTATGTACTATTCTTATTTTCTTGGTTAGGTAAAAAAAAGGGGGGGGGTCTGCTACCTTAGCACGCTACCTGTCCCATCCTCTTAGAAAAGATAAAAAGAGAAAAGAGAGGGGGTGAAGTGTCTGGATGAGAGTGCTGTCCTTTTTGGGAGAAAAGAAAAGATAAAAAGGGAAGAGGATAACTAGGAGCTGGGATGCTGGGTTGACGAAGAGCGGACCGTAGCGGCTGTTTGGGATCAGAAAATAGCAGCCGGTGACTGTCGTTGGGGACGGACAACAGCAGCTGGTGGCTGCCCGTTTGGGGACGGCAAGCAGCAGTCGAGACTGCAGGTTTTGGAGCAGAAAAAGGTAGCTTAATAGCGGGTTAGAGACAATTTTTGGAACAGCCTTAGCTGCAGATCCTTAGAAGAAAGGAAGATCTGGTTGCTGTTCTTTCTTTGGGGTTTCGATCGGAATGCAGCAGTAGACTGCTGTTGGGTGAACAACGGACAGCAGCAAGAACAGCAAACAGCGGTTTGCTGTGTTGTTCTCTACCTTCGGACAACAACAAGAAACAGCAGCAGCGATAGCGAGGGGGAGCAGTGCAGCGTCTGGCTGGACAGCAGCTCTGCAGTACCCTCTTGTTTCGTCTCGTGCTCCCACAGCAGCAGCAGGTAGCAGCTTGTTCAAGCAATAGTTGGCAACGCAGCAGCAGACTGCTGTCGGGCGCGCAGCGGACAGCAGCGAAGAACCAGAAACAGCAAACAGCGGTTTGCTATGCTGTTCTCTAATTTCGGACAACAACAACAAACAGCTATTTTGTGCCCTTTTCTTTCGTCCTGGTCATGGTTCAACAATAAAGCAACAGCAGGGTTTGAAGGTGCTGTCAACCCCTTCCTTTGCTGCAGACAAACAGCAACTTTCGCTATGTCTCTCCCGTGTCTTCACGAGCAAACAGCAACAGCTGAAGCTGCTGTATTTGAGCTGTGGTGTTGCCACTAAGCCTGTGAGTTCATTTTATTCCGTCATGTATTGTTACCCTTCGAAGCATTATGGGATTAGACTTAATTCCTAAACATGCTACAAATATACTACCTGTATAAAATGTCATGGAAAATTCACTTGGATGATGAGGGTTTATTACTTGCCTAAGAAATCTCAAATTTGATGAGTGAGTAAATGTGAAAGCTAACTAGAGGGTAGTACTAAAACGAGCATAANGATGATGAGGGTTTATTACTTGCCTAAGAAATCTCAAATTTGATGAGTGAGTAAATGTGAAAGCTAACTAGAGGGTAGTACTAAAACGAGCATAACTTGAAGAAGAGATCTTGACTTATGAAGCTATTTACAGGCTCTATTATGATTWGAAATCCTAAGGCGTTTTATGTCAGAGAACTCTATTACTCTTAGGTTATACATATGGTAATCACTAATGGTAGAAGTGGAWTATTTTTCTCTAATAGTGGACTCGCGTACAGTCTCGATGTTGGAATAATATCATAAATATATGCATGCCCAATATTAATTATCCAGGTAATTGATCGGAACGGGGCAAAACWTTGTATWCGAGAGTTGTTTATTTTATTTTGTGTGAGGGATGGTRTAAGTTGGTGGTAGGCATTRTGATTATTATGTAACCTCCAAATCATCCTCTCACTACTACTCGGAAATAGGCATTGTGATTATTGTGTAATTTCCGAGATAAAGGGCTTAAGATCACGTACGACTAAATGACTGGTTTAGGTTGATGTCGATGGTTTTAAACCTATAAGTGATGCTCTATAACGTTGAATTACGACTTACTTTGTGTTCGTCATAATCAACGGTAAATCGGGCCTCCCCCGTCATCCTCGGATGTTTTGACTCCTCTTKAAATATTTTAACTTTAGCTGTGTTCTTATAGTATTTAAATTGATGTTATCTATATKTAAAGGCTTCACTGTTCTTTTGCGATATTAATTGAACTCAGTAGGCGTAAGCCTAACACTTCTTTTGATATGGCTTGTATATCAGGTTCTTTTAGTGGCGGGGCCAAAATGGGTTGAGAGGAGCATTGGTTCGTGAAGAGGCTCTTTTGTAGTAAAGCCTTGTTGTTTTTGAGCGTTTTGTTTGATGATACCGTACTTTTGGAGATTGATAGAAACACCCGTCTATAATCTNAGAGGCTCTTTTGTAGTAAAGCCTTGTTGTTTTTGAGCGTTTTGTTTGATGATACCGTACTTTTGGAGATTGATAGAAACACCCGTCTATAATCTAGTTGTAGAAAAATCTAGATTAGTATGTTGTTATTTATCTTCTCGGTATTTGTTTTGTAAACGCCTTACTATTACCTTTTGTCGAGGGTATTTTTAATTCAAGTTTCTGAGTCTCGTTAGATTTCTTTTGTCTTGATTTATCTTTTAGCATGGGTGTTACAGCTGTCTTCTTGCCCCATAAAAAAGAAATTTATTTTTCCATTTCATCAAACGAGATTTAAGTTTAAGCACAAGCGCGTTAAAATCTCGCACCTTTAAACGAACTGGAGAGAGAGGCACCCCCAGGTAGCGAATAGGAAAAACCCCCGGATGAAAAGGAAGACAGTTACGAATAATATTCTGGACATCCAACCCCACATTCCCAAAGAATACTTCACTTTTATCAAGACTTGGAGACAGACCCGAACGTTCTTCAAACAAATGGAGAGCTCGTTTTAGCACTTCAACTGAAAGAGCATCTCCCCTAGAAAAGATAAACAGATCATCCGCAAAACATAAATGGGTCAATTTTATCTCAGCACATCCTTGATGATATGCAAAATGAACCTCCTCCTCAATACATTTTGTTAGAATCATCGATAAACCTTCCATAACCACCGTGAACAAGTAAGGAGACAAAGGATCCCCTTGTCTTAGACCCCGCTTTCCATGAAAAAAACCTTCCGGTTGTCCATTAACACATATAGAGAAAGTAGGCGATGTGATTAGAGATTTTATCCAGTTAAGCATAACTGGATGRAWTCCCATTCCCTTAAGCATCCCCAGAAGATACTGCCAGTCAACGGTATCATATGCTTTRCGAATATCAATCTTAAAAGCACACTTTGGTTCCCCCTGATGTTTTTGATAACCAGCTACAAGCTCATGCGCCATTAGAATATTATCAGTTATCTGACGACCAGGAATGAATGCAGTTTGAGCCTTGATTATAAGAAAATCCAAAGAGCCTTTCATTAGGAACCTTTGGAATTAAGCAAAGTAGAGTATGATTTAGCTGGTATTCTAAAGTTCCAGAGTAGAAGAAATTGTGTACCGCAATGAGAACATCCTTACCAACCACATTCCAAGCCGCTTTAAAGGACTTTGACGAGAAACCATTAGGACCAGGTGCCTTATCATTCCCAATGTCAAACAGCGCTGTCTGGATCTCCATATCCGTAATAGGTCTGATTAAATGCAGAGATTCCGGTAATGATAAAGAGCGAACAAAGGAGCAATCTTCCATAGAAGGATGAACCAAACTATTAGAAGTACCCAAAATACCTTCAAAATGGTTAACAAAAGCTTTAGGCACCTCTTGATGAATAAAAAYCGTACCMGYAGCATCTGTAATAGTAGSAATATGACTCCTATGAYGTTTTTCTCGCATAGCATGAAAGAAGAACTTAGAATTTCCATCACCTTCATTAAGCCAAGAAATCTTTACTTTTTGTCGAACCATTTCCATTTGATCATGTCTACCTTGTTGATAAGCTAATAAGAGGTGAGCCATGTCCTCTTTCAGCAAATCATTAAAGGGGTCTAGATCACAAGCCAATCGAGCAACTTCAAGTTTCGTCTTTAAACTAGCCACCCTCTTATCCAAAAAACCAAAAGAATTACGAAGCCGACGACAAACCCCTTTCAACTCTTGGAGTTTCCAAAGCACTCTTTTCATATAAGAACCTCGCTGAGGTTTCATCCACACCCCCGCCACGGAGTTAATGAAATCCACATGAGATGTCACAATATTATCAAATTTGAAACCATGTTGACGAAGACGCCTACCAACTTTGAAAGAAAGAATTCCCGGAGAATGATCGGAGATCCCCCGTGGTTCAAAGAAAACCGAAGCATCCCCAAATCTAGTAATGAAAGCTGAATTACCCAAAATACGATCAAGTTTACGCATAATACCATGACCCTCAGAAGGTTTCTGCGTCCAAGTATATTGGCACCCCTGATACGAGATATCAAAAAGCTCTACCTCTTCCAAACAAAGATGAAATTCCTCCATATCTGAGTTACGTCTAGAGGAACCACCCAAGCCATCATGGGGAAAAAGCATTGAGTTGAAATCCCCCATCGCAACCCATGCCTTTCTTTGAACAAAAGCATTGAATTTACCAATATCCCGCTAGAGTTCCCTCCTCTCCACACCCGTATTACACCCATAAACAAAAGTAATAGAAATGGGCTCCGGATGACCCAAAATCCGAATTTCACAATGCACATATTGTAAATGTTGCTCAATCATAATTAAAGACAAAACTGACGGGTCCCAAGCATTTATAATACGAGTACCTTGATCGCACACTTGCCCATTAGAGATCCAACTCCAATTTCCAAACACTTTGCCACACACTTCCCCCATATGACTACGTAAAACTTTTGACTCAATTATGCAACATAAAGAAAGATGCTTTAAAGTAATAAGATCACGTACCTCATTTTGCTTTATTAGGGCATTTAGACTCCTAATATTCCACATAGCAATCTTTATCATTGAGAGGGTGAAGTGGGTATTGCCCCTTTACAATGTTCCATAGAAGGCCCCTCAGTATCAATTATCTCTATATCATCATCATCACTAGAATCATCATAAGGTAATGAGGAAAATATATTGCTAACGGATGTGGAAGAAACTGTACCATGTCTTGGTTTTATCGCATAAATCACTGCTTTGACAAGTTCTGGACCCCCCTTTGATCTAAAAGTCACATTCGAAATATCATCTCTTCCTTTTGGCGTTCGCCCCGCATCCACCGTACAATATTGACTTTCCTCATGGTCCCTACGTTYCCCARCTAAGAAAGCAGAATCAACCGGCTGAACAACATCCTTATCCTTTTTATTCGCTCCCAATACAGACGGTACATCAGAAACCGGCTTTATAGTACCAACACCAACTATCGTATCATGAAGAATAGAAGGCTCACCTGAAGAAGTAGCCTGAGCACCAGTACGAGAACCTGAAGTTTACTTCGGCTTCCATTGTTTTCTCTGTTTCTCTATAAACCCATCATTACTCAATGGCATTACAATCTCTTTTTGTTTTTGAATACCCCCTTTCAGACAAGAATTCGYACGATGACCAAAAACTTTGCACTTTGAACATTGGGAAGGCACCCAATCATATTCCAGAACCAYCTTTATCAYGTCTTCACCATCACCCGAAAGCCTCGGAATGACAACTTCAATCTGCTTCTGTATTTCACCCACGGCCCAAACATCCACCAAAACTTTAGCAAAGTTAGTACGTCCCCAAGCTTTATCACAAGTACTAGCTATACAAGCATCCAAGCGCAATGGAATTCCAACAGCACTTGCAATACGGCTAATACCCTCTTTATTAAAAGCAACAAGAGGAATGTTATAGAATTTAATCCATAACGGACATGAGGTATGTTCAGGTTTATGAAGCCCCTTTGAAGGATCCCATGTTGAGACAAAAAGTGGCCTCCCACGAATCATAAGGGGAGACGACTCAACCACTTGATTGCAACCCCCATTATCATTAAATCGAAAAAAGAAATATCCAAGATCGTTTACCATAGCATCCATAAGCCCAAACTTTCCCCAAGCATTTTGAACCGCATGCAATACAATGGGAAAAGGAAGACGAGGTCCCAAAAAATACCCATAAAGAACCGACTGGAAAGATTTAGCCATATCTTTCGTAGTTTCCAACGTAAATTGGATCCGCGGTTTCACACTCTTCTCAACCGAATAGTACGTCAGTTCTTGCTTTGGAGTGCCTCCTACTATTTCAGAAAAAGACTTGTGAGGGTGTATATTACTCCCATCCAAGACTGCAGGAGATATGCGCTCCCACACCGAGACCCTTTTAGTGGGACCAAGATTATCTTCATTCCCCTTCAATACCGCCTCCTTTACACCCCCATGCAAGCCACCAAAAGCCGACTCACCAAGAATGACCTCAGCAAAATCCTTAGAAGAAGGATCTTCCAAAATCACATCCGCAAAATCTATCATCTTCACCACTCCACAAAAAAACCTAGTTCTCCCTATCCCTAGTCAAGAAGCCGTGGTGCTGAAACCCACAAAGAGCTTTCTTAATAAAATAAACGAAGACCCCACAAAGAGGTGCTGAATATTCTATTAAGAAACTCAATAAAGGCAACGAAGACCACAGAAACACTTGACACAGGAAAAAGAAAACTAGATAAAAACACTACCCAGAAGAACACCGCGAGAAAAAAAGAAATAAACCACCAAGAAGCAAACACCGAAGCAAAGGCCACCAGATCGATCAAAGAACCAAGAGAACCAAGCAATCGTAAAACCAAGAAAGGAAAGAAGATAAAGGAAGCGACACAAACCCTAGCATGCAAAACCCTAGCCGTGAGCAATACACTACACGACCAAGATGAACAACACAGCCAAGAAGAAGAAATCGCAAACCCTAGAATGCAAAACCGTACGGCCAAGAAGAAACCCTAGCCGTGACACACACCACGGCCAAAAAAAAACCCTAGCCGTTTCAAATCAAACTCAAAGAGAAAAACCGATTGCCAACAATGGGGGAATAACCAATACCAAACAAGAAGGTAATCGCACAAAGCAAAACAAAGAAGGAACGAAAACCAACCTCAAAGTAGAAAACCCTAATGCCGCCTCCAAGTTAAACAGTATGAACCCTAAATCGTGAAACAAATCGGAAACCAAGTAACAATGCCAAGCAAGACGAAATTGAAGAGAAGAAAACGCATAACCATCAACAATGAACAATCGAAACCATCATCTTCATCTTCATACGTTCATGCCACCTTGAGAGAAAAAATCAAACCCTAGTCGACGTTAATCTATCAATAAACTAACAGCTAGCTTATCAATAAACCTTACTAACTCAATTCAACAATAATCTTGCAATACCATGATCAATTCCTTATAATTCAATTTCAAACTTCATAATAACAGTAACTTACAAAATTAACCACTAATCATAAACATGCAAACCCTAATATCCTTTATTAACACTAATTACAAAGATTAAGCTTAGCATTAGAAGCATACCTTCAAAAATCTTCACATAAACATCAAGAATTCATCTATTTGAGCTTTGATTCTTCAAGAATTGAATACATTCAGGCTTAAGTGTGTGAAATCGCACCTTGAGTGTGTGGGAGAGTTTTAGAAGTGATTTGGGGGAAAAAAATACTAATTTTCGTCCATTTAATCTCTTAAAGCCGAGTTGGGCCGAATTTGGCCCGGTTGAGGCCCATTTGACTACCAAACACTAAAAAAATCATAACTTTTTGCTCGGACCTCCTTTTTAATGAGGTTTTTGCCTATGCGATCGTAATAAGATAATCTATAACTTTCAATAAAAAGAATTCAAGATCTTCCAATAAAAGTAGTTTTACGTATGTTACAATTACCTCCTCCTTTTGGGGATTTCATACTCGAAATCATGATGACTCGAATAATGCCGGATACTTAGCCTTCATTTCATTCTTGTTCTCCCACGTCCAATGTGGTCCACGGTGATGCATCCACTTTACTAGCACCAAATCCACGACCTTGTTTCGTAATTTCACCGATCTCTCATTCAATATTGTTTCCGGTTCTTCAACATATCTAAGCTTTTCGTCCAGCTTCACTTCAGTCAATGGCACCATTCCTTCATGTTTTCCAAGACATTTTCGGAGATACCCGACATGGAAGACATTGTGTATTCCGCAGAGCTCTTCAGGTAGCTCCAATCTATATGCTTGTTTTCCAACACGCTCAATGATTTTGAAGGGTCCTACAAAACGAGGACTAAGTTTACCCTTCTTTCCAAATCTCATAATACCCTTCCATGGCGAAACCTTTATACCATGTCGCCAACTGAAAACTCTATTGGCCGTCGCCTTTTGTCGGCATATGACTTCTGTCTATCTTGTGCCGCCTTCATTCTTTCACGAACGATTTGAATCTTTTCATGAGTATCTTGTATCAATTCTGGACCAGCCAAGACTTTCTCTCCTGTTTCATGCCAACACAAAGGTGTACGACACTTT